TTTGAATGAACTGTAAATGCTGCCTTCATTCTAGAAAATCCTATCTGCAAAACGGTTGGAAATACATCCAAGCACAGTCACTCTACTAGTAGAGTTACTGTGGTCCTAGTAATAAACTAAGTGACTTCTAAAGACTGAATGGTGTTTGTGAACTTCGTATATGGGCCCATTTAATTATAAACCGACGTTAGCTTCACGTTTATGTCACACCATGGAAACAGCCAAAAACATATTGCTTGTTTTTGAGCAGAGCGGATCGCCAACCAGCCTACCGGCTTGTTTTCCAGAATGTGTTATTCATAGTGAGTGTTACTGATATGTACATGGTTGTGAATTACATTAGTCTAAATGTTTCAGCTCATTGAATAGAAAATTATGATGCTAATAAAAACTAAATGCTTCTTCAATTTGCAGTGATTTTGTTGAAGAGTTATACCAATGTGTTAAGTCTGGAGCTTTGTGTAATTTACAGCAGTATTTGGCGGTACTACATATACTGTACACATTAAGTAAAGGTAGGACCTCTAATTACCATCAATGTGACTGTGTTCAGTTACTAGAGTTTCACTGCCCTTTAAACATTACCATCTTTGTGGCTGTGTTTAGTTACGAGGGGTTGACCTTCCTTAACCCACGATGCAACTTGTTTCTTATTTACTAATAAAAACCTCAACTGTTGAATGAGTGAATAATTATGAAATTTGAAAAGTGATTTTCAAAAATTGTTGATAAACCTAAAATCAAAAATCAGTAATGATATTGAAAGTCATTGACAGTTTGATGTGTTTTTTTTTTGCTGTAGGTCGTCACAAAGTTAGTTATGTCAAAGACTGTCTATTGGTTTCGCAACAAGATTTAGAAAACATGATATTACCTGAAGCTGAAAACACTGATGATGAAGAACCATCACTGGAAAGGTATTGCATAACATTATATGACATAATGGAACTTCAGCCTCTAATTTATGTGTTTTCAGTCTCTGTCAACATTTCTTGAATATATGCATAATCAAGAGATGGTATCTCACAGATTTGGAAATTAGGAATGCTACTTTACTTGTTCACAATCACAACATTTGATAGTATTTATAGTATTGGATAGTTACTTACAGATTTTGCAAATCTGAATGCAACTAAAAGAGTGATTCACAGTGACATTCGCTAAACTTTTATCGCTTCAAATGATAAAATCATAACAATTTATGGTGGCAAAACAGTTTACAGTAATTTTTTCATGTTTTTTCCCCTTCTGTTTCATAGGAAAATACACACATGTGCACTAAAGCTGGCAAGAGAAACTTTGGAATCTATTGGAGTGGTCGCATAAAAACAATTTTTGTTTACAACATATATTTTAGTAGAATTTAATACTGTAAACATTTGCTTTCAAAGTAATAATGTTTTATATCTATAACTTGGTGTCATGTGATAGGATTGATTTACATTATCAGATATTAAAATTTGAATTTCACAGAATAATTGTGATATTCTTTGTATTCTTGTCTTAAGGTAGAAGCCTACTCATAATTTAAAAAACCCAGAATTTATTCATTTTGCAATAAATTGTACTCCAAGGCCTTTTTTTCGATATATTGGTGGTTTTATTTTAGTGGAAAGTTGCCATTTTGACACTATTATAACACTTTTACCACAGGTTCCTATGGCAGAGATATTATGCAATATCTCAAAATCTAGCCTGGTGACGTAGGCTGAAAAAATCATATATTGTTAATAATGGAATACTTTTTATTCTGAATTATTTAAAAAATCTGAGTTTTAAAAGTGTCAAAAAATGCAATTTTTATTTAACATTGTGTTCTTATGGAGTTGTTCTAAAAAAGAAATTTTCAAGAAATTTTTGGACACGTTTCTCAAAAAGCATAACTGTAACACACAAAATAATGCTATTTCATTGTACCATGGGACATTAGCATGATTGTACATAATAAACTAATGAACATTATGCGATTTATGACCAATTTTGTCCAAAATTATAACTAGGCTTCTACCTTAATACATCACCTGAAGAAAGCCTTCATTGATAGCCAAAATAAATGGGGAAACACACAACACAAACTTAACTTTAAAGAAATCCTAAACAACCAAATATAAATATGTTGCATATGCAGGGTAATCTTGTTACACGGTTCAGGGAGTGTCAAGAACCATCCCAAAGTACTGTTTTCTGAGAGTTTTTGGCCTTTGTTTTGACCATGATGGTTGCCAGGCGGTGAAAATGCTCGCACAGTGGAAGCTGTGTTGGCTTGCAGTGGATGTCGAGGCAATACAATATTCGGACAAAAGCCGTTCAGGGTACTTAGTTCTGAGTCTGATGTGTTCATTTTTAGTCGCACTGGAAATGATAAATCATTGTTATTATGCTTTACCAGCCTTGCGACCATCTAGCGTGGTAATAGTGTTGAGCCACTGTTGAGTATTATAGAAGAGTAGGTGTTATACCTCAAAGCTCATGGTGTCACTGCAACATATATTGACAGAAACGAAGATGAAGACATCAGAAATGCAAAGCCCCAAGTGCTTTTTGGTAGTCATTGTAACAAAACTTTCTATTGGTCAGTAAACTTTCTATCGCGCAACCACGTGACATACACGGTTATGAATAGAATTACCGCACGGTGTTGTGGAGGGAGGAATGTTCGAACGGAGCAACACCGTGCAGGCGGACGATGGCTGAGGGCGTGCGATGCAAACATCGGTGATTACGTCGCTCTGTATTTTGTTTGTGTTTTCTCGCCTGTTATGGTACTTGTGCGAGTTATTTAGAAAGATGAACGTCGATGGAATACGATATACAGATGCAGGCTCGTCTGGGGACTGTTTTGGTTCAGAATTCGCTTGTTTGTGGAATGAGAGAAAAATCGCTATGGCCGAAGTGTTTTGCAAAGTGATCCAAGATGGCCGACACCAACTGAAGAACACATGTAAGTGGATAGTAGCGCTGATATCTTTATCACTAATATTGTCTGGGGATGTCGAATTAAATCCCAGGCCACCTAAAAGAGGAACAAAAAAGAAAACTAATTTAATGGAGTCGAAGAAAATCACCGAGGTATTTGGATCCCAGTCCGTAAATGGGGATGACTCGCGTGGACGTCAGTTGCAACAGTGTACAGACCTCCC